TCCCAGCACTGTATCAGACGAGCTCTGCTGTAACCTGTCTACCCTGCAGGTATCTGAAATACCAGTGGCATAGGTTCCAGCATCATAGCAACACACACAAGCCCTTACAGTACAACAAACTCACGGACAGGTGGTGGTTTGTGGAGAGTAGTCTTATGATTCCATGTTGTTGTTGTTAGGTGCAGTCAAGTCAGTTCTGACACATAACAACCCTATGTACCACAGAATGAAACACTGCCCAGTCCTGGGCCATGCTCACAATTGTTGTTATGCTTGAACGCATTGTTGCAGCCACTGCGTCAATCCATCTCATTGAGGGTCTTCTTCTTTTTTGCTGACTCTCTACTTTACCAAGCATGATGTCCTTTTCTAGGGACTGATCCCTCCTAATAACATGTCCAAAGTACATGAGACAAAGTCTTGCCATCCTTGCTTCTAAGGAGCATTCTGGTTGTACTTCTTCCAACACACATTGTTCATTCTTTTGGCAGTCCATGGTATATTCAGTATTCGTCACCAACACCACAATTCAAAGGCACCAGTTCTTCTTTGCTCTTCCTTATTCATTGTCCAGCTTTTGCATGCATATGATGCGATTGAAAAAAACCATGGCTTGGGTCAGGTGCACCTTAGTCTTCAAGGTGACATCTTTGCTTTTCAACACGTTAAAGAGGTCTTTTGCAGCAGATTTGCCCAATGCAATGCATCTTTTGATTTCCTGACTGCTGCTTCCAGGGGCACTGATTGTGGACCCACGTAAAATGAAATCCTTGACAACTTCAATCTTTTCTCCGCTTATCATGATGTTGTTTATTGGTTCAGTTGTGAGGATTTTTGTCTTCCTTATGTTGAAGAGTAATCCATACTGAAGGCTGTGGTCTTTGAGCTTCACCAGTAAGTGCTTCAAGTCCTCTTCACTTTCAGCAAGCAAGGTTGTGGCATCTGCATAATGTAAGTTGTTAATGAGTCTTCCTCCAATCCTGATGCCCCGTTCCTCTTCATATAGTCCAGCTCAGCATACAGATTGAATAGGTATGGTGAAAGGATACAACCCTGATGCACACGTCTCCTGACTTCATGATTCCATAGTGTCCTAGAATGTCCCAATGAGAAGAGCCCTCTGAAGCCACTAGGTTCAGCTTGAGGCCCAGGGGGTTAGGGAAGGAGATGATCCTGGGTACAGCTCTCCCTCCTCTTCACGATGCCTCCTCAGTCCTCTTTTTGTTCATTCCATCTCATCTGCCTCCAATTTCCTCATCTGAGCTTTTATAGATCATCTCCTCAGGGCAATAACTTTGTTTTTTGATGCAGTTTTGTGGACTATTCTTCTTCTTAATACTATAGAGATTATAAGCCACAAACATAAAAATGGAGTTTTTGCACAGACACTGTGAACCCTGAATAAACATCTGAAACCACTAAACCAGTTTACATCTTTGTTCTTTTTCATTTAAATGAAAAGCTGAAGAACATAGTTTGTTGGGTTTTTTTAAGATAACACACACAGCCATATATTTATATGAGCACGATTTTTTTCATATTTTGAGATACCCAGTGCGGGATGAATTTGTCTGTGGAATTATAACCTCATGAAAGGAGATTGGCATTTTTCTGCTGAGACAAACTTAACTGCAATAGGTGTGAATGGGGCTGCTATAATAATTAAATCCAAAATCTTTCATAATCCTATGCCTTCCCTAGAGTATTGTTCAGCATTAGCTATGGATGAAAACGCAAGCAAGTACATGTACATTCAATAATAAAGCTTAGTAGGTCAGGGAAGGAGTGGAATGAAATGAATGCCTAACACCTCCAGAGGTAACTAATGGTAGTTTGCCTTCCTAGTTACTTCCTTGACTTGTGTTTACCAGGACTTGAACATATGCCTCAAACTATCCTTTATTATTAACCATATCCATACCAAGCTTGTTGCTTGAGGGGTGTTGAATGTCAGTTGCTATGTAGATTGACAGCCCATTTCTAGAATTGTTCATTGAGGGGCATTTCACTTCTGTGTTGAAATCACATAGAATTGACTGGAGAGTAGAATGACTGCTGGGTGCTGAACTCCATGCTCTGACTCTGGATACGCTAGTTCTACCAGAAGGGAAGAAACCTAAAGACCATGAGTCCACTTCCAGATCCAGCTGCACTCTCTTTGCCTTAAGATGTAGCAAGAGGCTTCTTGAGCTAGCCTGGCTTACCTCTAGAATGCTCAGCAAATTAAAATGAGAGCAGTAGGGGCTCCCCAAGACTTCTGCTTGTGATTCATTTGTTAATAATATTAATGGCCTACATTATTTCTAATTGAGATGATACACTTCAAATACTAATAATGCTATCTTGCATGAAAGTAGGGCTTTCATAAAGCACGTTCACATCCATCAGTTCATGTTAACCTCGCCACCATCACCCTGTTAAAAACAAAACAAAACACTGTTGCCGCTGTTGTCGACTCTGACTCATGGCTACCCCTGTGTGTCAGAGTAGAACTGTGCTCCGTAGGGTTTTCAGTGGCTGATTTTTCGGAAGTAGATCACCACGCTTATCTGCCTAGGTGCCTCTGGGTGGACTTGAACCTCCAACTTTTAGGTTGGCAGCTGAGTACTTAACCATTTGCACCACTCAGGGACTCCACCATTCTGTGAGGGACCTTAATTATTTTCCCACTTAACAGATGAAAGACACAAATGGGGCTTAGAGAGGGCCACTGACTTACCCGAGATAGCAGAGTTTATGCTTAGTTGAATCTCATTCTTTTGACTCCATTTTAATATGTGGTTTAATTTTGTGGTTTTTAGCATGGTTGCTGTTGGTTTTATTACACTATCTTTTGTAAGTTATACCCTCTAGGAAAATGCTATATACTCTCAAGGTCTAGCTGGAGCTAGTGGGATGCTGCTGGTCAAATGTCTAGCACCTTCCCTGACACAGAGAATGGGCCCTCTAAATGCTAGGAATGGTATATCATTTATTTTGCTGAACACTTAAATGTAAATTAACACGCAGATATTTCCTACATAGAAATATAAATATAGATAAATATGCATATGGAAAAGGAAGCCTAACAAGCATAGGTAGTTTTTAAACCTTTCAGTTCTATAGCTTACAAGAATGACAGTCTTCACTGACCACGATGTGTTATAAAGAATTATGTGTTCAGAGTCATAAGCCTGCAACTGCAAAGGAAATGCCAAGATGCATTTTTCTCTCCTTCTCGAAGATCTTCTAAACATCCATTCATCTCTTGAAGGGCAATCATAAATCCTACAAATTTAGTTTCTCGGAAACCAGCTCTAATAGCTGTCCTTCCCACCAGTCATGCTTCATGTCAGGCTCTGGTTTTTAGACCACAGTGAACAAATCTGGTTTTCTGTGGCTGAGCATCAAAGTGGGAAGCTGTGTTTTCTTTGGAGCCCTGGTGGCACAGTGGTTAAGAGCTAGGCTGCCAAACAGAAGGTCGGCAGTTTGAATCATGTTGGGTAACCACCCCGACCTGAATCTCTCTTCCTAATATTTGAATACTACCTCTAAAATAATGTTTCCCCCTGTTTATCAAATCAGCTGCTTTTTCCCTCCTGGCTTCCTTTCATGGGGGAGAAGCATGGTACAGTGGCAATTTGAAGACTGGCTGTGGCACTGACTAGCTGTGCAATCTCAAGCAAAGCATTTCACGTCTCTGAACCTTTCACTGTCTGCAAAATGAGGGTGGTAGACTCTATCTTCTCTGGAAGGATGCTGTGAAAAACACAGATGTGAATAAGTTGTAACCCTTGCCCACATGGATCTTAGGGACTGGTGGCGGAGAGAGATTCATACAAAAGTCACCTCTGTGGGAAGCAGTGCTGTGAACCAGCCATAAACAAGGATCTGGGGAGTGGGGGACAGATCTCAAAGGTATTCTGTCTGAGGTGATGGTTCTAGAAAGCTTTTGTGGAGGAGGTGGTATCTGACTGAGCTGTAGAAGAAAAGTAGGCTTTTCAGTGGTGATGAGGAAGAGAATTCCAGCCTGAGACTGAAGTCTGAGACTGATCCTAGAAGCAAGAGAGAGCAGATCATTCTGAGGAAATGGCAATTGATCCAGAGAGGATGGGAGCGCCCCCACTTGGAGCCAGGGGAAAAGGTCTAAAGTTGTACTTGATTCATAAAAATAGAAACACCAATTGGTCTTTGAAGGCTGTGTAACTGGAACATTAAGCTAAGAAGTCACTCTTCCTGCTGTAGCTCTAACTTGGGGTGGGGGAGTGCCACCAGAATTAATATTCTTGGAGAAACAAAAGACTCTGTCTGCTTGATAAACAATTTTGAAAGTGCCAGTCCATCACCAAAATTCACACCACTTGTATTTCTCAGTTACCTTGGCTGAGGAGAGAAAGATTTCATTTCCTTATCACGGGATTACATCTCTTTGATCAAATTTTACATGAAGAGATAGGCCATATACCAAAAGGTTAATGACTATCCATTTCTCACCCAGATATTTTGTGGCCACTGAGCTACCCAGCAGCAGAGGGCACTGAAAGGCAGTGGCCGTTCACTGGGCCTGTTGCCTGTCATCCAGAGAGCCCCAGCAGACTTTGACAACAGCCTTTAGAGCTAGGGGTGGACTTGTGCCCTTATTCTCTCATGGGAGGCTCAGAGCATCTTGTCTTGGAGAGATCCAATGCCACATCCCACCTACATGGTGATTGATCAGTACATTTATTGCCCTTTCAGTAGTAAAAATATACAGACTCCAGGCATCTCCTGAGATGCTGAAATAGTCCTTTTTCCCCCCTGATTTAAGGGAAGGTGGAGAGGGATGATGTGTGTGGAGCATGACATAAATATAAGAGCCCAAATATCTAATTAGCTGAAAGAATAGCGGTTCCCTCTGCACCTTTGACAGAATTGTAGCTGTCAGAATGTAGCTCCAACAGTTTATCCTCATTGCAAGATAGATCTGAGGAGGATTTAGAAAAGACACTTTCTAACTCAAATGCCACTCTGATTTTTTGTAGGATGCTTGAGGACGACCTGAAGCTGAGCAGTGATGAAGATGACCTTGAACCTGTGAAGACCTTGACCACTCAGTGCACTGCCACTGAGCTCTACCAGGTAGGGATGGCTTAGGGCCTGGTTTGGGGCCTAATGGGAGGGAGTGAAAGGAACTGGAATGGTTTTAACATGTACAGGCCTACCCCCCTGCTTCATCTCTGGGCTTCAGAAAGGGGGAAAGCAGCAAAGATAGGCATAGTGTTCTGGAACAGGTTGAATCAGCTCGTCTTCTCTTTAAAGCTACAGTGAAAGAGATTCTGAGCTATTTAAAACTGCTTTCACCCCTCCCTCCACTCCCCACTTTCCACACAAAAATATTAGCTGTCAACAAACAAGAGAAATTGGCTTTCCTTTTCTTGGACTAAGTATTGTCTTGGGTGAGGCGTAACCTTCCTTTTGTGACTCAAATGTGAGGCTTAGAGCCCCAAATCATGGTTTCAGGTATAAATGTACCCGCGCCATTCACTTTTCCCAGATGCACCCCTTTGAAAACCAGCTGAGAACCAATACCCAGCATCTTTCAGCTTACATGGACATTCAGGCAAAAGGCATTTAACAAAAACTTGCTGCTGTCCTCCCCTTCTTTCCATTCTGCGTAACAAATATTTACAGTCCTTACCACCAAAGAAAAATGGGTGGGATGTGTGTTTTCAGCATTTTCAATGAGGCTGGACTTCTTGATTGGAAAAGGCCAAGTAGCGTTTGCGAATCATGAGGATGGCCGTGGAGTGCAGTGATGACAATGACACGTGTGCATTTTCTTGGGGAGAGAGACCTGGCTCACATGGTGAGCTTGCAACTTCCAAACAAAGAGGAGAGCAACAAAAGGATTGCTATGGACTGAATTGTGTCCCCCCAAAATGTATATTGAAGTCCTGGCCCGTGTACTTGTGGATGTGATTCTACTTGGAAATAGGGGTTTTCTTTTGTTATGTTGATGGGGTCATACTAGTGTAGGGTGGATCCTAAACCTAATCACCTCTGAGTTATAAAAAGATCTAAATAGACACAGACACACACAGGGGAAGACAGACACCATGTGAAGACAGACACACACGGATGGCAGATGCATCTACAAGCCCAGGAACGCCAAGGATTGCTGGCAGCTAGCAGAAGCTGAAATAGACAAGGAAGGACCTCCCCCTACAGCTACACTCTAATTTGGACTTCCAGCCTCCTGAACTGTGAGAAAATAAATTCCTGTTCTTTAAAGCCACCCCTTGTGATACTTCTGTTAATAGCAACACTAGGAAAATAAGACAAGAGTTGCGCCTCTTTTTTAAGCCAATACCTGATCAAGTTCTTCCTCCGGTGAAATCTGCAAAGTCACAAGACTGAAAACAGGCTGTTTTCAGGAACGTTCTTACACTAGTATTTCAAGAAAGACCACTAATACGGAGTTTCACACTCACTAAATATTTTGTGAGAAGCCTAAGAAAAGCGTAAGAAAAACTCTCAAGGCTCACTTCCATTCTCATCTACAGTTGTTTACCACACTACAACCCCTACCACTTGGTATAATTTTAAAATGTAATCCACCTCCAATTTGATGTGGCCAAAACTTTCCTCTCCTTTATGTTCCCCAACTTTTCCTACTTGCATTATCGGATAATATGTAAAAATTGTATCTCTGCAACTTTGGTGCTTTATCAAGAACAAGCACAGGGTGCCTGTGGAGTACGGTGTGCTGGCCTAAGCCAATTTCACTTGGCTCACAGGGGATTGCTGAATTTGCTGAATGCAAACAGCCCCCCTCTTACTTGAGTCATGGGCTTTATATCAAATGTAAAATGCAGGCTTGATTTCCAAGGGCTCTAACATTCCTGCTTTCTGCATTTAGTATACCAATGACAAGACCATCATATTTGTAAAAAATAATAATAATAAAGAAAAGATCATTATTTTGACAGATGCAGCATTACTTTTTAATGGAAATGTTTAAAGCAGTAATCAACAATAAGTAAAACCATATTTCGCACATGGACTTCCTCTCTCTTGATTCCAATGAGTACAATCTGCTTGTTAGCTTTTGTTGTTGTTAGGTGTTAGCTTATACACTTGTTATTTTCTGTACTTACCTTAAAAAGTGGCATTGAGTCTGCCGGGCCCAGTCATCTGGATTTTAGGATGTATGTGAGGACTTTGTGTAAGTGCTGAGACTCTCGGAGAATCGGGGTTGGTGAGTTGACACCTACCTACTGGCCTTAGTCCAGTCATGCCTTCCTCAATGACGCTTAAGTTCTCACTTACACTTTGAAGGAAAGTTTGAATTCGGGAGGGGGGTAAGATAAGGCAACCAAAGTCCCTGGGTGGTGCAAAAGGTTAACATGCTCAGCTGTTAACCAAAAGGTTGGCAGTTCAAGTCTACCCAGAAGCACCTGGGAAGAAAGGCCTGGCAATCTACTTCTGAAAAGTCAGCCATTTGAAAACCCTATGGAGCACAGTTCTACTCTGTCACATATGGGGTCACCATGAGTCAGAATTGACTCAATGGTAACTGGTCTAAGGTAAGGCAAAACGGTCCCATATATAATGTGGTTCTAGTCCCTCAGGTTCTAACTGGGACTGTTATTGTTGTTGTTATTGTTGTCGTGTGCCATTGAGTCAATTCTGACTCACAGCGACCCTGTAGGACAAAGTAGAACTGCCTTTCCTAGGTTGTAATCTTTACGGAAGGAGCCTTGGTGGTGCAGTGGTTAAGAGCTTGGCTACTAACCGGAAGGTCAGCAGTTTGAACCCACCAGCTGCTTCACAGGAAAAAGATGTGGCAGTCTGCTTCCATAAACATTACAGGCTTGGAAACTCTATGGGACAGTTCTACTCTGTCCCACAGGGTCTCTATGAGTCAGAATCAACTCAACAGCAATGGGTTTGGTTTTGGTTTTTCACTCTTTATGAGAGCAGATTGTCAGGTCCTTTCTCCTGTGGAGCCGCTGGTGGGATTGAACCATGGACCTTTCTATTAGTGACTGAGCAAGCACTTAACCATTGTGCTACCAGGGTTCCTTGAGACACTCATACCTCCAACTTATTCCCTTTAGCTTGGTCTAGAAATTGGGAAGCGGGCACAAGTTTGTAAACGTTTGCAAATGCACCCTTCTTATAGAGTTTGAGGACAAGTTAAAAGCCTGGAAGGCTAAAGACCAGAAGAGAGTGCTTGCACAGCATAGGAAGCAGCAGTAACAGCAATGTTTGGTAGGCTCTGGCTTTATGAGGCCTAACATTCTTTTTCAAAGATGTCTGGCTTAGAATCATTTTCTTTTATCTCTAAAACCAAAAACCCATTGCCGCTGAGTCAATTCTGATTCATAGCGACCCTATAGGACAGAGTAGAACTGCCCCATAGGGTTTCCAAGGCTGTAATCTTTATGGAAGCAGACTGCCACATCTTTCTCCCACGGAGCGGTTGGTGGGTTTGAATCACCAACCTTTCCATTAGCAGCTGAGCACTTAACCACTGTGCCACCGTGGCTCTTTTTATTTATCTCTAGTTGTGAAATTCACATAACATAAAATTCACCCTTTCAACCTTTTTAAAGTGAACGATTCAGTGGCATTTAGTACATTCACAAGGTTGTACAACCATCACTTCTATCTAGTTCCAGAACTTTTCATCACCCCAGAATGAAACCACAGACCATTAAGCAGTCACTTTCTAGACCTTGGCAACCACTAATCTGCTTCCGTCTCTGTGAATTTGCCCATTCTGGACATTTCATAAATATGGAATCAGACAATACATGTGGTCTTTTACAACTGGCTTCTTACGCTCAACATCATGTTTTCAAGGTTCATCCATGATGTAGCGTGTATCAGAACCTCATTTTTCTTTATTACTGAGTACTATTCTAGTGTATGGATGTACCACATTGTTAAAACAGCTCGGGGGCAGTGTCTGACCTCCTCCAACCCCACCAGAGGGAAGGAGAACCAAGATCAACAGCACAAGGCTGACTCCCATGAGGTGGAGGCCAGACAAGCCTCCTCTCTCTGCCATCTTTACTAATTCTGACACCAACCGTCCCTCCCACAGCACTCTCTACTTCTCTGTTGGGTTCAGTAATTCATTACAATGGCCACACAGAGCTCATAGACCATACTCAGGATTATGGCATTTATTAGGGAAGTAACAGTTAAAATTCAGGCTCAGGAACACTCAGGAGACAATTCTTTCATCAGGACAGCCCCTTCCCAACAGTGCTTGCACGCATGCCTCTCCCTGGCCCTCCGTCTGTCCCCGGAGGCACTCAGCTTTCTCTCTCCGTGGGCCAGGAAGCCGACCGCACCATCTTCTGCTGCTGGGTCTCTGTTGCCGGGTCTCTCCTGCCACTGCTTCTCACTGTCTTCAGGGTTACAGCTTGCTCTCTCTCTCTCTCTCTCGATGTCCTGCTTCCAGGAGCTTCTCAGAGCAGGGATCCTGGGTCCGAAGGATGTGCTCTCCGCTCCTGGCTGTTCTTCCTTAGTGGTGGTAGGATCCTCCTCTCTGCTCTGGAATTAACTCTCTTTTAAGGCAAAACGGACCAATCCCCTTGGTGGGCCACAAGTACCCTATCACACAGTCCCACCCAATCACCTGGGTGAGAGTTACAAGACCATGGCTAGAAAGGCCACACAAAAGTAATTAATGGTACCGCACACATGTTGTTTATCCATTCATCCATTGATGGACACTTGCGTTGTTTCCATCTTTTGGCTATTATGAGTAATGCTGCAATGAACATTGGTGTATAAGTATTTGTTGGAGTTCCTGCTTTCAGTTCTTTTGGGTATGTACCTAGGAGTGGAATTGCTGGGTCATATGGTAGTTTTATGTTCAGCTTATTAAGGAACCACCAAAATCATTTTATTAAGGTGAGATAATATAGTACTGTGTAGATAATATGGTTCTATTCCCTCGTCTTCTAACTGGGCCAGTCATTCCTCTGGCAACATCAGGAGGAGAAGTACTGAGAGCTCCCATTTGTGGAGCCACTCTTGCTCTGTGTCAGGCTCTGTGTTAGGCATTCTGTCTCATTTGAACCTCCCACAAACCTATAAGGTAGATTTAGGCCTCCTATTTG